TTTTTTTTTTTGAGATGGAGTTTTGCTCTTGTTACCCAGGCTGGAGTGCAATGGCGCGATCTCGGCTCACCGCAACCTCCGCCTCCTGGGTTCAGGCAATTCTCCTGCCTCAGCCTCCTGAGTAGCTGGGATTACAGGCACGTGCCACCATGCCCAGCTAATTTTTTGTAGTTTTAGTAGAGACAGGGTTTCACCATGTTGTCCAGGATGGTCTCGATCTCTTGACCTCGTGATCCACCCGCCTCGGCCTCCCAAAGTGCTGGGATTACAGGCTTGAGCCACCGCGCCTGGCCCTAGGGTTTTCACTATCATGGCCAGACTGGTCTCGAACTCCTGACCTCCGGATCCCAAAGTGCTGGGATTACAGGCTTGAGCAACCACGCCCAGTCCATCTTTTCTTTTTTAGACAGAGTCTTGCTCGGTCGCCCAGGCTGGAGTGGAGTGACTCAATCTCAGCTCAATGCAACCCCCTGCCTCCTGGGTTCAAGCAATTCTCATGCCTCAGCTGGGATTACAGACACCAGCCACCTCGCTTGGCTAATTTTTGTATTTTTAGTACAGACAGGTTTCACTATGTTGGCCAGAATGGTCTTGAATTCCTGACCTCATCTGCCTGCCTCTGCCTCCCAAAGTACTGGAATTATAGGCATGAGCTACTACACCTGGCTGAGGGCATCATCTTAAATGAACAAATCCAAAAAACTTTTTCAACTTAATCTTCCTAAGGCACCTTACTTCCTCATCCTCACTGAATCAAAAGCCTTCAGTGGCTTCCAGCTTGCTACTAAAATACTGACATCCTTCTTTCCACAACAGAAATCCACCTACTCTTTAATCTCTACCTCACCCTACTTCCCTGATACCTGAATAAGTACTATTGCTTCTCACCTCTTTGACTTGCTTATACTTGTCATTCACCTAGAATGACCTATCTCCAAATTCTGACCAGGCAATGCCAGCCAGCCATTAAGGCTAGTATTCTCTTCCAGTAAGCTTTCCCTATACTTTCAACCATATGTATCTCTCACTCAGAACTGCCAAAACACATTTATTATACCTTTAATCAATTGTGTATTATTCTTTCCCTATTCTAAGTTCCTTGAGCCTTGAGTATTTACATCGTATCCCCAAAAGATTCCAGAATTAAAATATCAAATATTACAGAATTTAAAGTAATTTATATTAATTATTCAATGTAACTTAAGCCTAAACAATCCACTTACCAACTAAATACGTTTTGAAAAACTGAAAGAATGATGAATAAATCTAAGTTTAATGGTGATTGTATAATCTCTTGCTGAACAAAGCCAACAATGTAAACACACTGGTCATCGTGCAATCAGGTAAATTCTTTGCTACTTAAGCAATAGTGTTCAACTTCACTTTACCTTGCTCATGTTCTAACAGTTGCAGAGCTTCAACTCCATTACTCCCAGAAGGTCCTGCTCCAAGTTCTGACACAGACTCTCCTTCTAGGTCTAGGGAGGACACTGAATTGGAGCGATTTGAAGGACCTAGAGAAATGTTTATACTGTGAGCAATCTTTTTAAAACAGTCATGAGGCACCACACAATTTTTCATGCCTAAAAGACTAAAAACTGATTAAAGTGTTTTTAATGCAGCCTTTATACCTTAAAAAAACACATGCCCTTTGAGACAGAAATTCTGCTTCTAGGAATTTATCCTAAGGTGCGAATAAAAAATTAATCTGCTAGGCACAGTGGCTGACACCTTGTAATCTCAGCACTTAAGAGACCAAGGTGCATTGATCACCTGAGGACAGGAGTTGGAGACCAGGCTGACCAACATGGTGAAACCCCATCTCTACTAAAAATACAAAAATTAGCCAGGCCTGGTGGCGCATTCCTGTAATCTCAGCTACTCAGGAGACTGAGGCAAGAGAATCGCATGAAATGGGGAGGCCGAGGTTGCAATGAGCCGAGATCGTACCATTGCACTGGCATGATCTCAGCTTGGGCAACAAAAGTGAGATTCCGTCTCAAAAAACAAATTAATCTAAGGTTGCTTGTTGCAGAGCTTTTTTTTTTTTTTTTGTGACAAAGTTTCGCTCTGTCACCCAGGTTGGAGTGCAGTGGCTCGATCTCAACTCACCGCAACCTCCGCCTCCTAGGTTCAAACAATTCTCCTGCCTCAGCCTCCTGAGTAGCTGGGATTACAGGTGTGCACCACCACGCCCAGCTAACTTTTGTATTTTCAGTACAGACAAGGTTTCACCATGTTGGTCAGGCTGGTCTCAAATTCCTGACCTCATGATCTACCTTCCTCGGCCTCCCAAAGTGCTGGGATTACAGGTGTGAGCCAGCCTTTTTTTTTTTTTTTTTTTTTTTAAGACAGAGTCTTGCTCTGTTACCCAGGTTGGAGTGCAGTGGCGCGATCTTGGCTCACTACAACCTCTGCCTCCCAGGTTTCAAGCAATTCTCCTGCTTCAGCCTCTCCAGTACCTGGGACCCCAGATGCACGCTGCCACACCCAGCTAATGTTTTGTATTTTAGTATGAACAGGGTTTCACCGTGTTGCCCAGGCTGGTCTCAAACTCCTGAGCTCAGGTAATCTGCCTGCCTCTGCCTCTCAAAGTGCTGGGATTACAGACACAAGCCACCATGCCCAGCCCAAAGCTTCTATGTCTGAAAAGTGGAAGCAATCTACAGATTTAATCATAGAAGAAAATTGAAAAAACTGATATGCCCATGTGAGTTAAGGAAAACAGCCATGAAAGCCATGTTATTTAAGAATGTTAGGCTGGCCGGGCGCGGTGGCTCACGCCTGTAATCCCAGCACTTTGGGAGGCCGAGGCAGGTGGATCACGAGGTCAAGAGATCGAGACCATCCTGGTCAACACGGTGAAACCCCGTCTCTACTAAAAACTACAAAAAATTGGCTGGGCATGGTGGCGCGTGCCTGTAATCCCAGCTACTCAGGAGGCTGAGGCAGGAGAATTGCCTGAACCCAGGAGGCGGAGGTTGCGGTGAGCCGAGATTGCGCCATTGCACTCCAGCCTGGGTAACAAGAGCGAAACTCCGTCTCA